CGGCAAGCGCGACCCCAGTGCAGCACGAGGCCTCACAGCATTAGTACTCACGACCTTCAAATCATTATGAGAAATTGACGTGAGAGCCGTAGCCAGAAAAAAAGAATGTCTGCGGCAGGGATCACGACACGGTGGTAGCGAAGACTCAAGATCAAGCACGACGTCGACCAAGCGGTGACAGATCAGAACATTGATGACTTGGCAATATGTGGACCGGTTATCAGCTCAACCTAGTGCGATATCATCTCAAACAAACTTTTATCCAACGTATATTGCATTGGAAGAGGTGTAGGGGTTTCGGTGGGTAGCTCGGTGAGCGTGAGCGCGAACGGTCTCTACTAACAATGAGCGGATGGTTCCCACACTTTGTGAATGGACGAAAATATTCCTGGTCTCTCAGACATTATCCAGACTGCTTCTGCATGCTCCAGACGACGTACAACTAACACTACTTTGGATCTTTACGAGAGGTCTTCTGAAGACCATTACAGGAAGAGACGGCTTGTTTCACTCGCGGAATTTTCAGAAAGCGCCATACACCCACTCCAGAGATGTGTCAGACTGCCTGCAATGGACAAGAAACGTGTGGTATTGAGTTTTGGGCTGATCAATCGTGCATCCCATCTCGGTTCGCTGAGACGTCAGTCTTGTCATGCGCTAGACGCCTGCACTAGCCATGTCTCCGATTTTCGTGCTCACCTTTCAGTCGTAGCTCTCGAATCTACGACGACCTCCCCACAGAGCGGCATGGCGCCAATTGCGGATGCGGGAATCACGACGGAAACACGAGATCAAGTTCCCGCACAGACCTTATGTCACGAGTGGAATCGGGAGACGCTGGGTCGCAACCCTACCTACAAGATGCTGACTTGCGAGCTTGCTGGGTCCGGCCCGTAGAACTGCGCTTTTTTTTTTTCTGAGGGGCCATGAATTTTTATGCTGAGCGTGTGGCAAGGGCGGGACAGAACCTTTCTACCCGTTCGCCCTTGATTTGTGCCTCGGAACCCTCGCGCAACTGTCCCGCCGGTCTTATCAATCGACCATCTTCCTCGCATGCCCTCCAACGACAGATCCTCGACCCCCCGGTCACCCTCTTGTCTGAAGGTGTCTCGCCATCTGCAACCGTCTTGACTTTTCTTCGTCTGGTCTGGCCTGGCCTCTCAAATGCCTATGCCCATTCTCCTATCTCTCTCACGCTCGGTACAGCAATCGACGTCGCCGGTGGCTCACTCACGGCTGCTGGGCGGTTCATTGGGTGACCTGATGGAACGTCTTCAGCCGTTGAACGAGCTGCCGTCGCGTGGGTTAGCGCCCTATACAACGCGCCCTTCAATGAAATCGGTCCAGGCTTCCTGTCTGACAGAAAGGCGCCTGCACCTGTCTGTATGCGCCTCACAACGCCGACGGAGGTCGTGGAATATCCTTTTGCGGCTCGCAGCTCTTGATCTGGTCGCGGAAAACGTGTCTATTGGATACCTCGGCCGTCTGCAGCGTGCACCTGGAAATAAATGGGCGTGGCTAGTCGGCCTAGCATCTCGCCTAGTGCCCCGCCTCTAGACGCCTTCCCCTTCATCTTACCTCTGCCTGCGAAACCCGAAACAGGTCCTTTGTCGCTGTCCTATTTGGTGACGCCCGAGTACCTTGATTCTCGAGCGACCATACGTATTCGTTTGCACAACGTCCTGTCCACTGAGCCTGGCATGCAGGGCTGTTGCCGTTCCAAGCGCACTACTACAATCTCGCTCTTGTTAAACGTTAAGGTACGGCGAGAGCGGTAATAGATACCGCGGGCCATGTTTGACGCTATGACACGTTGCCCACGTGAGCCGGGCACCGGACCGTCACGCCCAAGAATTTCTCACTAGGCACCAATCGTGCGGTGACGCCATCGAGTCGGCAGTTTGCACTGTCTGCAATTCCACACCAACCCTATCTTGTCGATGCTCCATGAGTGCTAAGCACGCCTTTGGTCACCCAGCCACTCCACAGAAAGTCGTATACAGACGATCAAACGGCTCGAAAGGATTTCTGTACAACTTTCTCCTCTACAATCTGCGGATCGGGCTGTTGGGATATTGGCCCAAATGCCGGATGTGCCGGCAAATCTGGACACGAGGCGGGACCAGCAGAAGTACATAACTCAACGCGGAAGTTATTGTTACATCAGCAAACTCAGAGGCACTAGATGCGTCGTTACTGCGCGTCATCTCGGGATCACCTCGGGGATCGTCCCCGTGCCCGAACCGCGCCTGGTGCGCGGCTTCGAGCTCCGCTTTTGCAACCCAATGGTTCGATGGACTTGATACTGTAGAAAATATATATAAAAAGGTCGTACATAGGATGACTGTACTAAGTTACCGCAGATCTGTAACCTGGGGGTATATCGTGACAGTGTTCACAAGACTCGTTTCGGGGAGATACGTTAGAGAACCAGAGCAGCGCGTCATTTTACCCTACCTAGAGTGAATATTGAAAAATAGAACGCCCTCACAAAGGCATTGTGTCGAAACCGACCGTCGGAAACCTAACACCGAGTCTCTCAAGCTCCTCACCGCCGCACCAAGTTCTCCTTCACACGCCCGAATTTCCCCACACCCGGGCTCCCAATACTACATGATCTGTACTGGTATCATCACGTTCTGCATGCTTCGGTCCGAGAACCCATAGGTCAATGTTATATCAAGCAGAGTTGAATCATGGCGATTGCCGCGCTGTCCTGTCGTTGGAGTCTTGCAAGTCTGCGTGCCGGGTCCTTTTCCTCCTCTTCGCCTTCGGTTTACTCTTGTCTACACAATCGGCTCGGCAAAGTGTATGTTGGAGAGTTTCCGAGAGCTGCGTCGAAAGTGACCCAACATGCGATGCGTACCGGATGAGCTATATTATGCGGGAGTGTACTTGGAAGCACTGAGCTAAAAGAGAGGTTGGGTTGCCCCGATGCCAAAGTTGCGATAAGAGTATCATATTACGATATGCCATGATAGATGTCAGTACAAGTAGCAAGCGCTGGCACGACTTGGGCACGAGCTGTTGGACTCGGCCGTAGCCTTGTCTTCGCAGCGACCTTCGGGTAAAGGCCTGCCGCCCGTCAGTCGCCTCGATACAGATCTCAATGCACTCATGTAAAGGCGACAGAGATAGTCGAGAACGAAGGAGATATGCCTCATAAACATAAAACAAGCATGAGGCTACCAGTATCTCGCCATAAACCCTGACCCGTGTGACGATCAGGCGGTAATCGCCCGGTCAACAAGAAACACCTGGCTTTCCGCATGATTCGTCATGAATCACGAACCGAGTACTTGTGCATGAAAACGAATCAAGCGGTAACCAGCGGAATCCAGCTAAACCTGCGCTCAGAATTGCCTGATCGGGCGCCTTTTTCGGCAAATGTCCCATGAGTCCAGGAGAGATAAACCTGACTGCAAACGGCTACCAGGTGATCGCCACACAGTTGAACATCAGGTTACCGCCTGATCATCAGGTAGGCTGTGGGCAATGGTGTCTAGCTGTGCTCTCCGCGAGCAGAGCCCTTATCTACTGAAGATGGTCTCAAGATCTCACATTCACTATTCACGAACCAAATACGGGTCTTCCGCCATTTTATCGACCGAGGTGACTTTCAGTGAGTGATAGCGCTGGATGACTGCGACTCAATGAGGGTATGTATTAACGAACGAATGCGCATCAATCACTGCGTGTCGTAATGAATCTCGTACAGAAATCGTCGATATGGGGTATCTACGTATCTCCACACATACTACAAGGGTCCAAGGTCAGTTCAGTATTGGCTAGGACACTCATTACGCATCGGATGTTAGCAAAGACTGCGATAAAGTGCCCATTCCACCTTCGGGAGGGACTTCATGTAGTCCCACAGAGCAGGCATCCCAGTCGCCGAACACGTAGCTCAGTATCAGTCACCCCATACGCAACACGTCTCAGCTATCACCCTATGGCCTGATTTGCACAGCAACGACAGACTTCAGGTGAGCACGTTTCGGATTGAGCGCCCACACATTTATGGCGCGATAGCGACAGAATCGTCTGCATAGTGATAACGAGATAAACCATCTTCAGACGCAGGGTCGTATCATATGTGATTGACGCCACGCAGCTGGACGCCGCAAGCGGTATTGTAGATGTGAGCATGAGATCAAGCTATACGGAAAGGGCCTATGACAGGCGTCCTTACATACTTATGGGCGAAAAATCTTCTTAGTCCGTCATCCGCAGCTTCTCAAGCAGCGATATTGGCGGGATAGATCACATCGCACTAGTACAGAATGCATAGTTTAGGACAAGATTGAGTAGCATACGGGAAAGGACGAGTTACAAGTACACCTTTTTACATGAAAGACCGAACCTGTTTCTCATCCTATACCTATCTCAGGACCTTCGTTTTGAGCCCATCTTCCGCCCAGCGCAAAAGGTCATCCCGATCTGCGAGGCTCATGAAGGACATGATCGGATTTACACCAGTGACCAATCTAGAAAGACCTGCCCTGCGGTGGCGATCCGTTCCGTCCTTGTAATGATTCTTTAGGCCTTCAACGCCCGCGAATGACATTTTGCACAAAGTGCACGGGAACAGTTTTCCTGAAGGAAATTGGCCTGAAGGCTATACAAAAAGTTACGGAATGGTAAGAAAGTACGCACTGTAAACTTTAAAGGGTCCTTGTTTGGCACGGGGGAGCGACGGTTCTATGTTGCGCCCGTGTATTCTGGCACTCCGCTGTCGCAGCGGAGGTATCGTTGGCGCTGTGCAAGTCAATTGTGCATTTGCACCAGCGTTGGATACGGGAACTGTGTCGGACGCAATGCTACCGGTCTGGGCGCAGGGGTCTGTTTCTATGCCCACGGGCGGCGTATCATAACTCTCCCAATTCTATGAGTTTATGAGTCTCCGTCGGCTATTCAGATGAGCTCTGTATATGCCTTACCATGGCGTCCTCCTCTGGTGACCACTCTGGCAAGAACTTTCAGACGAGTGTCAGTCAACGCTACGTGCAGATGAAGGTAAAGAAGCTCACACAGGAGAGCACCATCGGCAATGACGGACAGGGTCCAGATGTTGTTGAAAATACGACAGGGTCCATCGTATTGTGCATGAGCTCGTCAAGCTCTTTATCAGCGCTCTCATGCTGCCAATCTTGGGAAGCGCCTGACTTCGGTTGGAAGAGCTGTACGAGCCTTGATAAGCTATCTAACAACAGTGAGAAAGGACTTTCACGTACCGTGTGCCAAGGATAACAGCCTTCTTGCTCGTTCGTAATACGAAAGTCGTCATCCCACGGAAGCTCCTGCACGCTGCTAGAGTCCGACCGAACGATGACACGCTCGTCTTCAGCGTAGTCGAGCTGGCTCCATAGCCTTTCATCGAGCTCTGGTATGGCGGCAATCAGCGTTTGAACGAACATTTGAGCCTCTTGTTTGATTGCGCACCCAACACATCCGGCCCTGACGACAACAGGGCATCCTTGTGAACCGTCTCCTCAACGTATTCCATCTCCTGCCCGGTGACCATCGTATACGAGTTTGAAGATAGCTCACAGAACATGGTGGTAGATGTGGGAGATAGGTATGATGCTACGCCGACCCTGCGTTGAAGTCATTCCGCGCGCGCTCTTCCCATCCCACGACTTGACCGCCATCACGCCTCAACACGAGACCATCGGCATCACATCGATATAGAAAGGCTATCTACCGCTTACCACAGGGGCATTTGCGTTCTGGTAGATCTATTGCTCGCGCTAATTACGCATATCCAGCCTGGAAAGGTAGGATAACTGAGGATGTGATCGCGCTCCGAGTGTAAGAGGACATGATATCCTCCTGGAGCTGTCATAGACGACCATGACACTTTGCTCTGTCCGGGAAGGTTTATGAGCGCTCGGTACAGATGCTCACTAGCGGGGCAGCGAGGATGTATGCGTATGTGCGAGTCTGCAGTTTTACTAAGAGGGGACACAGGTTGGTGAATGCCCTCTCCTGCTGGCGTGACGATTACACATACTTACAAGCCGATAAGAAACCATTTTATTTCTTCAATGCATCGATACATAGGATACAAGATTGCGTGCAGCTAAAAAAGCTTTCCTAGTGCGCATCGTCGACCACCGTTCCAACATTGCCCGCCATGATCGTGTTGCGCGCCTAACCCAGGGCTGCCTCGTTAACGGGGGTTCGGTCTAGATCGATGACCCCGTGTCAGCTAGAAATGATTTTTATCTGATGTCGTGGTGCTCATGAAGAGGCGGTAAAGGTGCAGGAGCCAGGACCCGCGCGCTGAGTGTCGTGCAACCTCGGGCGGGCTTCGGGGATCCTTCCCACAACCAAACCGTCTCACAGGGCGACGTCGAGCTTCTCTATCGCAAGAATGCCGCTCATTGGACTCGGCAACGTTATTCTACACGCCTGACGCGACTTTGGTTTGACAGGAAGTATATATAAAAGTACCCCCGAGTCATTATTTCTCCCCAAATATGAAGGATGCCGTGAAGACAAAGTCTCTTCTTCGTTAGCACCTCTCCCAAAGCTTAATAAGCGACGGGTTGTTAAACCTGCATTCAAGGTATCAGAGAGTGACCGCGGTTGTGACAAGATGCGATACAGACAGGACTCTAAGCTCAGCCTTATTTGGGGCTCGGCGCGCAACTCGGGATTATTCTGGCGCACCATGAAGCACGACTACGATGTCATCCCGCCGTAGGTGACCGTGCCGCTGGCCGAGCGTACGCCAAAGTTTGTGCGCCGGATGAACAAACCTGACCATTCGCCGCCCGACTCAGATCGTGCGGCTGCGCGCCTTGCACGACTTGAAGCGCGCGACCTCTCCACCATCACACCTAGCCTCGAGCCTGATGGCTTCTTTGCAGAATCCTTCAGCATGGAGGACATTGTCTGGTTGAAGAAACATATGCGGGAGCGCTCCCTTGAGGGCTCACCGGGCTATGACGGCGTGTCCAAGGCCGAGATCATGCTCATAGCAAACGAGAATCTTGCCGCTCTCTTCTCTCGATCTTGTGCACAGGCCAGTGCTGCGCTTCTCGGCCATCCCACTTCTGCGTGCTGACAGTTGCTTACAGACGACTCACGCGGCGGATCAGCATGATCTACTGCCGCCAACACAGAATGGTTTCCGGCGAGGATATCGCATGGCGAACAACGCTCTTGTCCTGCGATGCCTCATGGAGAAGGCACACGCAATGAAGACCCCGCTCTATGTCGCCTTTGTTGACGTCACGAACGCGTTTCCTTCTACTGATCGAGACCTCCTCTGGGTCAAGCTTCATCGAATGGGTGTCAGCGGGACAATGCTTCACTGGCTGCGCAACCTCTACAGATGCATGTCCTATATCGTACGCACTTCTGAGAACTCTTCGGAAGCCTTTGAGGCAGACGTCGGAGTTCTCATCGGGGATTCGGTCTCGCCCACGCTTTGGAATTTGTTCTTAGTCGATCTCAACCTGCTCCCTCGTAACGATGATCCTGTACTAGGAGGTGACCTCATTTCCCTTCTCGCGCATGCGGACGACCTAGTACTCGTATCCACGTCACCCCCTGGACTGCAAGCTGAGATAAACGCGGTCTTTCGTTACTGCCGCCTCAATCAACTCGTGACACACCCGGGCAAGACAGTTCTCATGCTCTTCGGCGAGATACTTGCCGTCGTTCCCCAGTTCTACATGAATGGCGTCCAGCTCGCGTACAAGGAGACCTGGACCTTTTTACTCACCTTCACGAGTTCCAAAGGCAATCTCTTTTATGAGCACCACGTCGGGCGAAGGATGAAAGCATTAGCCGCCGTTTTCGGATACTAGAACTGGACCTCAATGTCGGTCGCCTTCCTCCATGGCCGGCACAACTACTCTGGATGGCGCGCCCAGACGCGTGTCTTACCGGGGGTTCGGACATTACTCCTGACATTAAAAAGCTGGACGACCCCTTGGAGGACGTGCAGGTGATGTTCCTGAGGAGGATCTTGGGCCTCGGACTGTCGTCTCTGCATGCTCCGCTATTCGCCGAGACGGGCATAGCACCCCTGCGCTTCCGCCGCCTGATACTCGCATTGCAATACCTACGCTACTCAGTGTCTCTTCACGAGGTGCACATGGTCAGCGCGGCTCTTCGCGAGTCCTACGCAATGTACACAGCGACAGTTTCGGCATGATTCGGGGACATCGCTTGGGCCCTCAAAAGTTGCTTGCCGTCCGTACGCATCCAGCTCCCATCACTAGCCGAACTCAAGGAAGATGGTGCAATCGACGCCCTCAGCAGTCAAGTTGAGTCACTGCGGGCTGCGGCGATACTCCGCTTCCGCCCTTATCTCAATGTTGTGCGCAAAGACCACAGTATTCCTCTCGTCCGGCTGGCCCTCAGCCATCACCCGCTCGCGCTGGAGGTACCGCCCTATCAAGTTCATCCCGGGCGCGCGCCTCGGCTCCTGACAAGGATCGACCGTTCCTCAAAGCTAGGCTCCTAAGGCTCCTTCGCACAAGCTGTCGATGCCAATGTCTATCATCATGAGTCGAGTGCGCTCTGACTTCCCAGCGCCCCGTCCCATCCAGATTGGCGCCATCCGCTGCATGCTGCTGGGCGGCCCAGTTCAACGAACCGCACGCTCTGATGGCACTCGTAAGATCCAGACATAGAAAATCATCGACATGAGCTGACCTTTCGCGCAGTCTAGCGGTGGCATTGAGCCACCCCGTGAGTCTCATCAAGCGCCAAACGCGTTAAGCCTCTGCAGTGTCCTCGCGAGCGCCAGGCCCACCTTCATCGACTTCCAAACGCTCGATGCTTGCAGCATGCGCCCCTGTTCCGTTCAAGATCGCTAACGCCTCCATCAATTACGTCCGATATGCAGAAAGAAGCTCACCTTTGCCGACTGCGTCGTTCCTTGAGGAAGACACTTCACCACCCTCGTTGAGCTCGCTACGAGTCTCGCTCTCTGCAGAGCAATCAGCGTCAGGCCCATCGCGACTGTCGCCGGCACTCACCGGCGTACGACCTTCTGAAGGAGGGAGAGGGCTAGACGCGCTGTATGGATCAGAGGACTCGGCGGCTGACGAGCCCGACTCTCTCTCGTCTGAGCTCTCCGTAGCGGCCTCGAGGC